CTTCGTCGTTCGCCATGTTTCGGAGGTAAAGGTGCCATCTTTGATGGCTTTAAAGCAAACAAAATTAATTAGACACCACGAGAGAATGATATTTAACATTATTATGTTGCGGATTAGTAACAATAAAACGATTCAGAAAGTAGGAAACAGATAAAATGATAAATATTTTCAGTTGTTCATAAGCAATATAAACAGATTTTATTTCTTACCCTTGATTGTGGTTGGGGTTGGTAACTGGGATTTGGTTCTGATGAATCAACGAGATTCGTGGTAAGGTCGATGAGACGTTGTTTTTGAATGCCTTCTCCGGGGCCCATGTGACTTATATGATTGAAATTCGTAGGAGCTGATATGAGTTTAGAACGTCGGTCCGAAGTTCTAAAGAATTAAATTTAAACATACACTCTCCTTTGTACGTAAAAGTATTCAATTTTTACATAATATACAATAATAATATAAAACAAAAGACTTTAAAATAAAAGTTAGGACAGTAATTACCTCATAGTTTTACATTGTATTCTTAAACTACTGCGTTTTCTTTTTCGTTTTCTTCTACACCTTTGCTATTTCAAAATTTTCTTAAAAAGTTACGTTTACTGCTCTTCTTACCTCTTCAATCAATAAATTACAAATTTTATAGTACAATTATTCCAAAAACAAAATAGTATCTGTTTTATTTAATCACATACCTAGCAGTTAGACTATTAAAAAAAAATAAATAACTAATCGAAAATGATTATAACAAAAAAACAATTTTGAAAATTCTTACTTACATTCTCTGTCCTCTGTGCCCCTCTCGCAATGAAAATCTCCTTCGAGGCCTCTGTATCGTTCTACCGTCTCTATCTTGTGTCACGAAGTTATCTAAATTAATTAGTTCCGCTAAAAATAAAAAGTCCACTTACAATTTATTTACTTATTTATTATTAACTAATTCTGGCTCTTCTTTGTTACAAGTAATACTTACGTTGATGTATATTGGATAAGTACAATAAGTGACTTAAATCGTGGATGACGCAAATCGACAAACTCCCAGTATTATTCAACGGCTTTGCTTTTTTCACATTTAAAGTCTGAACCCACTCCCCTGATAAACAGTTGAACACATCTATGTGAGTTTCGCTATAAACTATTAAGTGGCCGTCGCGGTAACCTGAAATAATTACGGTTTATAATATACTAAGGCAATGTACAGTACAGGATAGACAATCACCGCTGTAAATCAGTATGCCAACGAAACGGTGTTGTAAATAACAAAAACGCATCAAAAGTAATGCAGTGATGATAAAAGCATAAGTTAAACAAGAAATTTAAAGAAAAAAATCACACGTATTCACACGTGCAAAACTCATATCTTAATGAGCGTTCTAGCCTAGTCGGAGTCATACATATCATTTTGGCATAATGTATAATTACTTACAAATTGCTGTGGGTACGGCAGGATACATAATTTCTCTTTCTCTCGACCTCCGTCCATGCCTGTCCACATAAGCTGCAAGGGTGCCAAAGACAAGCAAAAACTCATTTTTCGGTAACTCTATCGCCCTGACCGCTTCTACAGAACTGAGAGACAACGTCGCTTGAAGGGGGTTTTCCGTGTGCAATAATGCTGAAACATAAATTAATTGAACAAAATAAGCTTTTATCTCTTTGCCTAACACGGATTAGTGTAGGGTTTTAAACAAAAAATGCTTACATATTGACAGCTGATCGCCTTGAACACTGTAAAGGGTGAACGTGGAGGATGATCCAATACACAATTTTCCATCAGAGAGCAACTGCAACGATTGAACAACGACTGGTAGCGAAAGTTCTCTTAACCTATGATGTCTCGTCCTGGTTCGCGTTATTTCGTAAACAATTATCGAAGACGAATTCTGTAAACGTAATATACATACATAATACGTATGTACACAAGTGTACTTATGCAGTAATACCTGTTTTTTAACGGTTATACAAAGATAAAAAGTCAGCGGGTTTTGTAAAACTGGTCCCACAGCGAGAGCAGAACAACCTTTACTCTCAGCCACCTTGATCCATTCAGTATCGTCTCCATCTAGGGCCCTTATCGGTACAAGTCGTACGTGCCTTTGCTTTCCACTTACTACCACCAGTAAATGCTCTTCACTGATGTACTCTAACTGGTAGATTTTCTTACCCTCGCCCACTCTTGCAATTTCTACACACAACAAAAATTATAAACAAAAGTGTATAAAATAGCTAGGGTACTGTAGGAGTCATTTCATAAGTAGGGAGGGCAAAGCACACACTATACAATTTATACTGCCTACAGTTGACGCTTGAAGAGATAAATAGAGAAATAATTTTATAAGTACCGTATTTTTTTTTTTAAGAATTAACAATTTCTGTGAAACGTATGATTAAAAACATTAAATAATCATTCATAATTTGTATTTTGTATGTCTCCAAAAAATTCCTATAGTTTGAAATGGTAACGGGCAACCAACTCGAAAACCTTTAAATGTTAGTATTCACCTCGTTATGAAAGTGTGGCTGACCTTTTTAAATATACGACTAAACTGTTTTTGAATTAACTGTATAATAATATACCTGATCGATCCAAGTTACCGTTATAATTGGTAGAAATGCAATAAAATAAATCAACTGATGAAAATTACAAGGATGGTATGATGTTTACTTCCATTTACTTTTGGCTGTTCCAAAACATAACCTATGAATGGTTATAGATGTCAAAATAATATTGCAAAGGTAAAATTTGTTAATAATGCCCTCAAAAAAGAAAAAATACAACGCTAGATTTCCAGCGGTAAGTTGAAATATTATTTTAAAAATAACCTTTTAGACTACTGAGTTTGTAGGGTCGTATAAAGAAGATAATGCAAACAGATGAAGAAGTAGGCAAAGTAGCACAAGCTGTACCTGTTATAATTTATATCCTTTTTAATTATAATTTAAATAGCGCATAACTAATTAACTAGTGCCTTTTACATAGTGGTATTTTTCAAATTCACTATTATCTGTAGATAAATTTTATATGTGCGGTAAATAACACAAACTGCTCTTTTTGATAATGCCTGGTTTAAATAAAATAAATCCGAAAACGGCATCTTAAAAAGAAAATAGTTAATTAAATGTGTGTGATTATAAAAGGAGCATTTGATATATTTTACAGGAATAATTAACAAATTAGTTAAAATACTTTTATTTAAGATGAACTTTTTGGAATTTTTCCTTAACTATTAATACCTCGAACGCTAGAATTATTTGTAGAATCACTATTAACAAAGTCCATGCAAATAACGCAAACAAGAAATGCAAAAACACTCACTCCGTCCCACATGAAGCAATGTATTCTTTCTGAAAATCGTTTTGACTTCCTCAAAGATCTGGTTAAAAATATTCCAGATCCAAGTACTCAAGAAGATAACGAAAATAATGCATTAGAAGCATCAGAGCTACTCAGTAGACAAACTTCAGAAGAAGAGGGCATGTCAGCGAAAAACGATAAAAGAAACAATGGTGAAAACAAAGATAATTGTGCTAACATAAATTTGGAACAAAGCACATCATCATCAACAAGTCATACGTCGGTTATACAGTATGGTCCAAAAGTATCTCAAATGGAGCAACCAAGGTTTAATTTTACTATTGAAAACTTGGTAAACAAAACAAATTTGGAGTCAACTGTTCACATAGATTTAAGACCAACAGGCAGTCAATTACCTATACCTCAATTAGTGTCATCTAGTAATAGTGCATCAAATGAAGTCGAGCCTACAATTTCAAAATCAACCATAAGTGAAAATATTCCACCACTCGCTCCACTAGCACACAACATATACAGAAATAACAGTGAAGAAAACACTCTATATATTGATGAAGATTATGATAACTGAGGGTACTATATACCTTAACTTCTGTAACGTTTACTATAACAGTTAACTGGTAATTTAAAAAAAGAATAAGAATTCAAATATGACATTCATTTAAAAAAAATACAAGATATAAAATAGTTGGCTACTGTTCAGAATACATTTTTGAAATAACGCGAGTTCGTTTCGTAATTATTTTAATCCTATCATTAAATACGTGTAATGTTATTATTTATTGTATGGTTATGTGAACTGTAAAGCTGGCCTCTTGTAAAGTAAAAAACTTCTTAGTAAATCGACTCTTAGTATTTCCGAAAAATTGGAATATTTAATTTTATATTACGATTTAAGTACGAAGTAAGTAAAGGCGATAATACACGAAAAAATATTTAACAAACGTGCTTTTAAACAACTTATTGTCAGATATAAAAATTCTAAATTGTTTTTAATTCTCTTTATTTTTATATTGATAAAAATTAAGACTAAGGTCATTTTAGTACAAATAATATCATTTTTAGAAACAATTAAATGTGACTAATTTTGCAACAAATTAATATTGCTAATACATTCTACTATGTTAATAAAATAAATATGGTATAATACGCAACGATCTTTACACAATTTATGCACCATGACTCTACAATTAAATACCTTCCGTTAAATGATAAAATAATAAAAAAAGAGATACCTATGGGGACTGCCGCACAATTACAAAAATAAATTAACTTTTGTTTGTAAGTATTCAATCCCTATGCTACATCTACGATAATTGTCACATTTGTAAAATGAAATTTATTAAACTTTAATTGCTGGGCAATTCCCTTATTGATCATACGGTATTTGTAAACAGCGACTAGTTCGTGAACGAATATTATTTTTTCAAGAAAGTGTAAAATTTCCGACGTTCTTATATAATTAAATTTTGTAAACAATCAGTCACCACACACAAATACCAGGATACCTGACATATTGTCACAACTTTAAATATATATATGTATATATATATAAACTAAACTCCTAACTTGTACTTACACGCCGTAATATATTTCAAACATCACTGCTATACAGGGAGATCACAGCAAAATCGAATTGTATGTAATAATAGATTCCTAATATCACAAACTTAATTTAAACTTTATTAGCTGAAAATTTGATAAATATAAGAATATGTGGATATGAAAGCTAAAAAATAATACTGCAACTAAAATTTTAATTACCCTTTTTTAAACTTCGAACGTACATGCCTACTGAAGTAGAGAGAAGATTTTTCGTTATTGTCGTCATACTATAACTATAAGCGCAGCAAAATATCTCGAACTGCTCAAGTTTAAAAAGGATATGAAAATTGATGAAATGAAAAGATATTTGTGATAACATTAAGTAGGTATGCCCTAAATTTAAAAAAGGTAGCTAGAATTTTAGTTGAAGTCATTTCATCAATCTTCAGAGCAAATTTTTACGTTATGAACCCTCTTTTTTATTGTATTAATTTACTTAGCTCTACTTTAATATCAGGAATCTCTTACTTATTTCTTATGGATCACCCTGTACTTATTTCGGGAGAGATGTTTGAACAAAACGTACTTACTGCACTGCACTGTTAAAAGATGACTCGCGAATTCTAATTAAAAAATACTACAGTGATCGATATTTTGATTATTTTATATTTGTATATTATATACTTTATATATACTTTTTTTATAATTGACTAATGACTAATAATATAATTAAATGTCAATTGATAATGTAAAGATTACACTAATAATAATATGCACACCTTAAACACAACATAAATAACAAAACAAACAAATATGTATTAGGACAATTATACACAACATAAGTACAGTGATTAGGTACTAAAAGAATTACTAGGTCGCTACCAAGTGAAAATTAAATAATACTGAGATAACTCAGTCCTTCAGTCGTTTAGAATAAATCAGCAGTACTTAATGTATATTGATTTTAAAATTCGAGAATTTTTTATTAGAAAAAGGTAAGTGTTCCAATCATATAGCATTGATTAAAAGTAACAACAACAAAAGCCAAATATTTTAGTATAATGTAGATTATACTTATACCGAGTGTTTTAAAAATGTGGGCAACTGTCCATGTTAAAGCGTTAAAATTAAATGAATGTATTCCAACATAATGTATTATTGCTTTTGTTACCTTTTAGTGTTACAAAGAATATAATTAAAAAATGCATGGAGAGACTCTCTTAATCATTGTCTTTCAGTTGCCCTTTTTAATAAAACACTTAAGTGTAAGAAGTTTACGATTAGTAATGTTAATAATTTCATGATTTGACGTTACAACACACAATATATCTGTTACTTTCAATTAATTTCAATGAAATATTTTTTTCTCTTGAAATTTGTACTGGATTATCATTATACTTTTATTAATAAAAGACGCTGTACAAAAGAGTAAGACGAAATATTAATGAAGAAGTTGATTATTTAAAACAAAAACAATATCAAGAAAGAAATAAGTAACACAATTGGGATACGTAAGTATAAGCTCTAAAAGAAGAAAACTGAAAAAGAATGACCGAGGTTTTTTCTTCAACTGTATCAATATATACAATATTCCCTTTTTTATTATACAACACAACCAAAATGATTGTTTGTACGTATTACGGCACTAATTTACGTAGTTATTATTACTGTTTCTGTTACTGCTTTTTAATAATATGTATTTAATAATATTGAACAAGACGCAGAAATTTCGTGCCCTCTAAGATTAGATTTAACTATCGTAACTAGAACTATTGTTGTGATCTGCTTGGGGAGAGGGTGGTGTAGATAAATTTGAACTGTTATTACTTGCTATAGAATGTCTCGGACTTTGTTTCCCTGTTTCCTATAAAATTAACGACTTTTTTATTCATTCTAGTTAATACTTATTTAACGAAGGGCTAGATCTTCCAAGCTATTAGTACGAAACTGCTTGGGATTTTGAAATTTAAAACACATCTACAAATACCAGCACGTTAAGTTTTTTTAATTTTAAATGTATTTTTTTTAACTATTATTACTGATAGAATGTATACTATGCAGTTCTTTTATGGAATTAGATATGGTTTGTTACAAAGCAGTGTTTAGTTTTGTGATTAATGAGCTGACTTACCTTTATGATGTCATGTAACGACGACATGCTGCCGATGCTCGCCGGGTCTGGTGATGGGGAAGGGTCAGCTGGGCGTGGTAATGCCGGGGGTAGATCTCGTGGCCTAGGGGGTGCTGCGCGCTTGCTACTGTTATAAGCGGGAAATTTTGCGTTTTGAATGAGTGTAGGGTTCGATATTTCAGGCCTTCGTCGTTCGCCATGTTTCGGAGGTAAAGGTGCCATCTTTGATGGCTTTAAAGCAAACAAAATTAATTAGACACCACGAGAGAATGATATTTAACATTATTATGTTGCGGATTAGTAACAATAAAACGATTCAGAAAGTAGGAAACAGATAAAATGATAAATATTTTCAGTTGTTCATAAGCAATATAAACAGATTTTATTTCTTACCCTTGATTGTGGTTGGGGTTGGTAACTGGGATTTGGTTCTGATGAATCAACGAGATTCGTGGTAAGGTCGATGAGACGTTGTTTTTGAATGCCTTCTCCGGGGCCCATGTGACTTATATGATTGAAATTCGTAGGAGCTGATATGAGTTTAGAACGTCGGTCCGAAGTTCTAAAGAATTAAATTTAAACATACACTCTCCTTTGTACGTAAAAGTATTCAATTTTTACATAATATACAATAATAATATAAAACAAAAGACTTTAAAATAAAAGTTAGGACAGTAATTACCTCATAGTTTTACATTGTATTCTTAAACTACTGCGTTTTCTTTTTCGTTTTCTTCTACACCTTTGCTATTTCAAAATTTTCTTAAAAAGTTACGTTTACTGCTCTTCTTACCTCTTCAATCAATAAATTACAAATTTTATAGTACAATTATTCCAAAAACAAAATAGTATCTGTTTTATTTAATCACATACCTAGCAGTTAGACTATTAAAAAAAAATAAATAACTAATCGAAAATGATTATAACAAAAAAACAATTTTGAAAATTCTTACTTACATTCTCTGTCCTCTGTGCCCCTCTCGCAATGAAAATCTCCTTCGAGGCCTCTGTATCGTTCTACCGTCTCTATCTTGTGTCACGAAGTTATCTAAATTAATTAGTTCCGCTAAAAATAAAAAGTCCACTTACAATTTATTTACTTATTTATTATTAACTAATTCTGGCTCTTCTTTGTTACAAGTAATACTTACGTTGATGTATATTGGATAAGTACAATAAGTGACTTAAATCGTGGATGACGCAAATCGACAAACTCCCAGTATTATTCAACGGCTTTGCTTTTTTCACATTTAAAGTCTGAACCCACTCCCCTGATAAACAGTTGAACACATCTATGTGAGTTTCGCTATAAACTATTAAGTGGCCGTCGCGGTAACCTGAAATAATTACGGTTTATAATATACTAAGGCAATGTACAGTACAGGATAGACAATCACCGCTGTAAATCAGTATGCCAACGAAACGGTGTTGTAAATAACAAAAACGCATCAAAAGTAATGCAGTGATGATAAAAGCATAAGTTAAACAAGAAATTTAAAGAAAAAAATCACACGTATTCACACGTGCAAAACTCATATCTTAATGAGCGTTCTAGCCTAGTCGGAGTCATACATATCATTTTGGCATAATGTATAATTACTTACAAATTGCTGTGGGTACGGCAGGATACATAATTTCTCTTTCTCTCGACCTCCGTCCATGCCTGTCCACATAAGCTGCAAGGGTGCCAAAGACAAGCAAAAACTCATTTTTCGGTAACTCTATCGCCCTGACCGCTTCTACAGAACTGAGAGACAACGTCGCTTGAAGGGGGTTTTCCGTGTGCAATAATGCTGAAACATAAATTAATTGAACAAAATAAGCTTTTATCTCTTTGCCTAACACGGATTAGTGTAGGGTTTTAAACAAAAAATGCTTACATATTGACAGCTGATCGCCTTGAACACTGTAAAGGGTGAACGTGGAGGATGATCCAATACACAATTTTCCATCAGAGAGCAACTGCAACGATTGAACAACGACTGGTAGCGAAAGTTCTCTTAACCTATGATGTCTCGTCCTGGTTCGCGTTATTTCGTAAACAATTATCGAAGACGAATTCTGTAAACGTAATATACATACATAATACGTATGTACACAAGTGTACTTATGCAGTAATACCTGTTTTTTAACGGTTATACAAAGATAAAAAGTCAGCGGGTTTTGTAAAACTGGTCCCACAGCGAGAGCAGAACAACCTTTACTCTCAGCCACCTTGATCCATTCAGTATCGTCTCCATCTAGGGCCCTTATCGGTACAAGTCGTACGTGCCTTTGCTTTCCACTTACTACCACCAGTAAATGCTCTTCACTGATGTACTCTAACTGGTAGATTTTCTTACCCTCGCCCACTCTTGCAATTTCTACACACAACAAAAATTATAAACAAAAGTGTATAAAATAGCTAGGGTACTGTAGGAGTCATTTCATAAGTAGGGAGGGCAAAGCACACACTATACAATTTATACTGCCTACAGTTGACGCTTGAAGAGATAAATAGAGAAATAATTTTATAAGTACCGTATTTTTTTTTTTAAGAATTAACAATTTCTGTGAAACGTATGATTAAAAACATTAAATAATCATTCATAATTTGTATTTTGTATGTCTCCAAAAAATTCCTATAGTTTGAAATGGTAACGGGCAACCAACTCGAAAACCTTTAAATGTTAGTATTCACCTCGTTATGAAAGTGTGGCTGACCTTTTTAAATATACGACTAAACTGTTTTTGAATTAACTGTATAATAATATACCTGATCGATCCAAGTCAACGCAATACAATCCTTCTTCGGCTCCTAGAACAATCCTGTCGGGATCAATGATCACTGAACTCATGGTGTTTTTGATCAGAGTCAACGAATTGTCTATAAGTTCCCTAGCTACTAGTACGGTTGTATTCGGAAGATTATTCCTCTTTAATATTCGATGTAATTCAGACAAGGCGACGACCCATTTATTTTTTTCTGCTTCGGAATCAGCCAACATTAATGTCGAATTTCGAGGGCCCGGAGGTTCCATTAAAGATGTTGTTATCTGCATTGCAATAATTATTTAATAGCTATCTATTTCTATAGAGATATTGTTTTGAAAACTATTGTAATTTACCCTAAAAATGCACGGTATGTCCTTTTTGTTAGCGTGAATTACATCCAATTCACGTACGCTACTGACACTGAATTGGGGATCGCGCATGTCCAAAACGTGGGCAACATGCACGTAAGGTAGTGCATTTCGATCGGGTGATATGTCGTACAAGAACAATTTGAAATCACAGACAACTACAAATTGACGTACCCAGCCTAAAAAACGTATACTGATATTAGTGTGTTAAAACAACCTGTCTTGTCTTGTCTATACGATGTGAAATTTTAATAAACAAATACATTTTTCAAATAATTGAACTATTTAGTTACTATTTTTCAGAACACTTTCTTAAGTATATTATTTCTCCCAAATAAATTTAAAATTATTACTGCAAGTTCAAACATTTTGAACTTAAGTTTCTAAACCTAAGACACTCTCTCTTACATATGTGATTGATATACCAAGAATATTCGTGTTTTTTTGCAAATCTACTGAGCCTTTAGTGTACGACTTCAAAGAGAAAACGAAAAATGCAAACCTTTTTTTACGCCACCCTGTTTGGGAACTTTGACGTAACCTTCGTAGGCTGTGCCTATACCTCTAGTTGGATCTATTCCTAATGGACGTTTCGCTGGAAAAAATATTTAAAATTCAACATTTTGGAAGACTGATTACTTAAAAGGTCTTTCTAATTACAAGGTCATCATTTTTTGTACCTACTTTGATCTGATGGTACAGGGCAAACGGCAGGCACGTGCGGACAGCAAGAGGTATGACACGTGAACCCGCATATTTCACACACCATTCCTTGGCGCATCAAGCCGACCATCAAAGACGTACAATGACTACATTTTGTTGGACTAGAGAAAGTACGAACTAAAAACTGGTGCGTTTTCAGTTTCGTCGGAGAATGCGATTCATGCTACAAAAACATTAGTATTATTATAAATATAATACAAAAAGTATATAAATAAATATACTGTATTCTATTTATTCATCTTATTGATGTTCATATGATGCTTCATATGTAAAAAAAATTTTTTTACTAACCATATTTAATTCCGATAAATTGCTTTTAGAACTGGCTATACTAAGAGCCCGATTGTCCTCAATGTCACCTTCTTCTGACTCAAGAGAACCCCCTTGGTACAAAAGGGCTGCATTTTCGTAAGAATGTGGCACTGCATGGCCCTGGATTTGAGACTGCGAAGAATTGGTTTCTTTCAAAAACTGGTCTAGATAAGACATCTGAGATGAAGGTCTTTCCAGAACTAAAAAGTAATAGTCTATTTGTAGATAGATAGCAAAAATAAAAGATGCACCACAGATTGTTATTTTTTCATTAAAATCAAAATACCTTCCTTCCAAATTAAAATTAAAATCAGATCAAGCATACATGATAAATGTCGAAATGTCGAACTTGATGTATAAAATGTAATATACAGGATGTTTTATCTTACTGAAATAATTTTAAAACATCCTATATACATGTAATAGCACTAATATTATAGGATAGTTAGTCGAGAGCATAGTACAATTTGTAATTAATATATCTGTATAAATAATATTAACGATTTTTGAGAAACAGAAAATAAAAGCATCAAAACACTATTCCTCGTTAAATACATACTAAATATTATGCGTTCTGAAATTACGTTTTTAATAATTAAGTACATAAGGTAAACTATGTAATGCTACTAATAATAATATGTATAAATCAGAAGTTTCAATTTAAAATTATTTAAAAAAATTGTTTCCTAAAGAAGTTTTTTTTTAATTATAGCACGTAGTAATTTTATTTTGCGCACACAAACCTTTTGAAATTCTGTTGTTAAAAACATCTGTATTTTTAACTACATTATATAATAAAATTTTTGAATTATTTTATGGGACACAACTGTATGCGAGAATTAATTTAAAACTTGTATATTGGAGAAGTATATTATCATTTAGTATGCATTCGATTTAAATTTAATAAACTTAGTAAATTAACAAACATTTTGTTTAGATGTAACACACAAAACTAAATGAGTAGTAGACAAAACAACCATCCGTGACATATGATCGATTAAGTTTTTAAATGCATATCAATAAAAAATATGTGTATATGTGGGGTGCAGAGCCCGAAAACAGGCATATTTTTCGATCAACTCTAGGGGATTGGACGTATCATTACGGCCAAAGCTCGGTATGTAATTTTTGTACAAGTTTTAGACGCGTGTAAATGATCAAAGCGTTCTTTTCAAACTTTGGTTGCAAATCCAATAAAAAACAAATTAACGTAAGATAATCAATCATTAACTAAACCAACCAATCATTGGAGTTAATTTTTTTTGTAAATAATCAAATATTAATAAAACTATAGAATTACAAAACACTCCAAAATTTTTTTACTATATATGTTAGAATAGATGAAGGTTGGATTAGGTATCGTTAATTTCTTTTCTACACTTTTTCTTTATCTGCACCCCTCCAAACATTTTGGTCATGTACTACTTTGGTCGTAACGAAGGGTCCAATCGTAGACTTGGTTGAAAAATACGGCCAATAGTTGTTTTCAGATTTTGCGGCCAACATATTACATTAAAATTATGCGGTATTAGCACTCAAGCTTTAAATGTATTTACAATCAAGCGCAAAAACAGGCTCTAGCTTAAAAATTCAATAAACGAACCCTTTATGTGACGTCGGTTGAAAGACGGCAGTCCAACTAACGCTGCGTGAAACATTTTGAATTCATTTGACACAACTTTTTAATATTTTACACGTATTAATTCGAATATAAAAAATACCTGCTCTGACAAAAATTGTTTATTGAAACTGCTAGAAAATCTTGCAAACTTAACAATTCATAAACTTGTCTCTAATATCTTACAGCCTAAACAAAGTCTACATCGAGTTTTTTGTTTTAACTATGATGAAAGCAATTCAAAATTCAGCAAAAATATACCAAACAATATACAGTGTGTCCCAAACTAATAGCAATGTTTAATTATTGGAAAACGGAAATTAAAGAAAAGTTTGCAAAGAATAATAATAAAAGAGGATAAACGACGCTCAAAATGAAAGTTGTAAATTGGCATCAAAAACTAGTTACTCCATTTGTGCTCAAATAATGCGAAAATTATATTTCACATACATTATTAAATGACTTTACTTTATAATTTGGGACGCACTGTATACATATGAATGAATTGCTTTTATCACAGAGTATACCTTTTGACAAATATTTTTACAACAGAATTTCCAATATTTTCATTCAAAAATTTTGATAAAAAAACAGGAACAATAAAACAATAACATTATTTACAATTGACATGAAAAAATCGCATTTCGAATAGTACACATGGAAGACTAGAACATTAAAAAATAACTACGTTATTTATATTTAGTTGTAAAATAAAATGCGAAAGAAACAAAAACAAACAACAAGGAGTCAGAAACTTATTTTAATGGTTTTATATTGAATAGCTGTAAATTACTTCTCATATTATAATCTTTTAATAAAAAAAAATAATTTTAAATAAAAAATATACAGTGTGTCCCATTATCATGTATTCTTTAAAACAGGTAAAGGACTTAAGTAAGTAAAAGACCATGTATAGAAAACAAATTAATAATTAATAGAAGTTAGGAATGTGAATATTTTAGATATTTGTAATTTTAATCATTTAAATATTTCATAAAAAAATAAGGCCAGTTACTAACATGAGGGAAATATTTACTCACTAAACTTTCTGTTAATTAAAAAAAAAAGAAAAAAAGATGATCTCAGTATACTATAAGAAATATTAATATGATCACTGGCCACAATTTAATAAAAAATAAAGAAAAATGATGAGAATTTTTAGCATATAATTTTGGCAATATAGTAAAAAAATGTAAAAAAAGGGTCAAGCCTTCATCAAAATAAATAAATGTTTTTTCGAAAAATGTAAAACACGTGTAATTGTAATTAAGAAATTAATTAAATAATATATATTATCCATTACCTCTGTAATAAGT